GTACAATGGTTGTAAGGTGTATGGCCACCTTAAGGGCTCGTTCACACCATTTTCTGGTCCAGATCTGCAGACGCGGTGCAATGCGTGCAGCGCGTTTTTACCCCGTTCCAGTTTTTTTTTTGGGGGGGGGGGGGTCTATCAGTATGCAGATTCTTGCTCTGAGCTCCCTTCCGGCCTTCATCAAAAGTGGAGCAAGAATACACTTTTTTTTTTTAAAGTTAGCTGCAGTGTGGTGTGTTTCCGTTGCATGTTTGACACGTTCGTACGCATTTCTGCGCGTTCTGCACCAGAAAAAAAGTGACATGCAGTATTTTTTTTTCTGTCCGTAACGGAAAGCACTGCGCTGGTGTGAACTGGAACCCATAAAACACATAGGGATACATTGTGATGCGTTTTTAGTGCAGGAGCGAACTGTTCTGGTCTGGCAGAATCCGGACATGGTGTGAACAAGCCTTTAGCGCAGGTTCACACCACATCCAGATCATCTCCAGACCAGACTGTTTCCGGACCCAAAATGCATCCCTATGCTATTTCTAGCCTCTGTTCACACCAGCGCAGTCTGTTCCAGACCAGACCAGAAAAATACTGCATGCCTCATTTTGTCTAGTCTGGAATGCACTGGAACCACGTGCAGGTTCACACCATTTTCCGGACCAGATCCGATCCAGAAAATGGTGTAAACCTGCCTTTAGGGAGTATCTGCCCAAAAATGAAATTCGTATTGCAAGGGATGCCCCAAATGGTACTTGTATTTTAGAGCCAGACTTCAGGGAAAATAGGTTGGACTTGATGGACTAATGTCTTTATTCAACCTCAAATACTATGTAACTATGTAAAATCAGTCAGCCAATCGCAGGAGGAGGAAGTGATAGTTCTGGGGGTGTTCTGTATAACAACAGTGCTTCACCATCATGCATTGCATTTTTTTTGACAGTTGTAGAAAATGACAGCGGCAGCAGTTTTAAATGAAACTGCAGCCGCTGAAATTAAATGACAAAATAGCGTGGGCAGAGATGATATATGCGAGATCATTTTTACAATGTTTTCATGTTTTTTTTTCTTTACTGGAGTTCCCTTTTGAGCCTAGAGCGAGTTTTGGTTTGTGAATTGAACACGGCTTCGTCGTCACATACAGAGGGCATTTTGGAGATTGTATCGATTCTACTCACAAGGGATTTGATTCTCACACAAAGAGCAAATGTTTATCAAGAACATGGTTTTGATAAACATTTGCAGAACTGTAAGGGTTAGTTCACACCATAAGCAGTGCGTTCCGGTCTGATTCTGGCCGCAACGCACTGCCTCACATTGCGGCTGGCTAATTTTTTTGACGGGCTGGAGGGGGCGTGGTGGCCATTGAAGTGAATGGCACCGTAGCTATGCCCTCCGGCCGCAATGCGATCGCCCGCACATTGTGCCTGCTGTGCGGTCAAAATGCTACAAGCAATATTTTGATCGCACCAGACCGCAGGCACAATGTGCCTTGCGATCCCGTGCGGGCGATCGCATTGCGGCCGGCGTGGCTACGGTGCCATTCACTTAAATGGCCAGCCACGCCCCCTCCGGCCCGGTAAATTGTTCATAGGTATAAAATACAGCAGATCAGCAAATTCTCAGCGTGGCAATTTATCAGAACTCTGCATAGCTCTCATCAGTTTCAGAACGATCAGTGCTAATATATGAGGACTGGTGGGTAAGTGATTGTAAAGTAACGCTGTGACCCGTCCTTCCTGTAATATCAATACAACTAATGGTATTAATCATCTGTAAACCTTTACCGACCCATCACCACTTATGTTTCACAAGAACACTTTTTTTTCCACATAGCATTTAACAAGTTCAGGTTCACTGACATATATATCAAGAAATGTCAATAAAAAAAAAAATGGGGGGAATTTATCAAAACTGGAGCAGAGAGACTCTGGAGCAGTTGTCCATGGGAACCAATCAGCATCTCTCCAGTTTGCTCAGTTAAGATTTGAAAATGAGACAGAAAGGCTGATTGTTTGCTAGGCACAGCTGCTACAGATTTTGATAAATTCCCTTCAGGGCCTGTTCACACCATATGCAGTGCGTTCCGGCCAGCACTGCATCGCATCCAGCTCAGTATTTCGTGGGGCCGGAGGGAGCGTGACTAGTCATTGAAGTGAATGGCACCGTAGCCACGGCCTCAATGCAATCGCCCGCACGGGATCGCAAGGCACATTGTGCCTGCCGTCCGGTGCGGTTCAAAATATTGCTTGTAGCATTTTGATCGCACCGCAGGCACAATGTGCCTTGCGATCGCATTGCGCCCTCCAGCCCCACGAAATACTGAGCCCCAGAACGTGGCCGGAACGCACTGCATATGGTGTGAACAGGCCCTCAATGTGTCTGCGTTTTATTCCTCCACCGCCACGCAATAAAACACTCACCGGAACAAGCGAGACCTCTAAAATAATCAATGCTGATAAAAGGTACCCAATAAAAACAAATCATGAATAATTTAATTGCTTTTATCTCACAATTTGTACAATAAAATGGCAGTGACACTCTGCATGCAACTGCACGCCAAACTTTAAAACCTGCACTATATACATAATTCCAAGCTGCAAGATCATCATTTTACGTAGTATACAAAATATTTAAAAGAAAAATGTGCAAGGATGTGGTCACCATGTTAAATCAATCATAAAGGATTCCGAGGCTCTGAGGCCTTGTTCACATGGACATTAGCTAGAGCAGTGCGTACAGCGAGCTACTGCGAAACATTGGGAAAGCTTTGAGGAGCTCTATTGAAGACTTTTTGCCGTCACTCACACTGTAATCGGCCAGCAAGTACAGCTCCGTGCTGCGTGCCAAGCAGACAGGTGCGTGCAGGGCCGTACCAAGCAGCTCCCGGGAAGGACAGGCGCTGCATGTGATTTAGTAAGCAGCCCCCGACCTTCTCTATGGGACTACGCGGCCATACGCACCCCCCCACGCTCACCCGCCCTCGTATGCTGACAGGATGGATCCTGTCTGCGTCAGAGCCGGAAAACACGCACACCTACGGACCTGCACTTGAGGTGAGTGTAGGGGGGCGTACGACCCCGTAGTCCCATAGAGAAGGACGGGGGCTGCGCAGTAAAACACATGCAGCGCCTGTCCTTCCGAGGAGCAGCTTGGTACGGCCCTGCACGGAGCTGTACGTGCGGGCCAATTCCAGTGTGAATGAGGGCTTAAAGAAAACCTCTGATCCGGCACTCTCTAAAATAATCAATGCTGATAAAAGGTACCCAATAAAAACAAATCATGAATAATTTAATTGCTTTTATCTCACAATTTGTACAATAAAATGGCAGTGACACTCTGCATGCAACTGCACGCCAAACTTTAAAACCTGCACTATATACATAATTCCAAGCTGCAAGATCATCATTTTACGTAGTATACAAAATATTTAAAAGAAAAATGTGCAAGGATGTGGTCACCATGTTAAATCAATCATAAAGGATTCCGAGGCTCTGAGGCCTTGTTCACATGGACATTAGCTAGAGCAGTGCGTACAGCGAGCTACTGCGAAACATTGGGAAAGCTTTGAGGAGCTCTATTGAAGACTTTTTGCCGTCACTCACACTGTAATCGGCCAGCAAGTACAGCTCCGTGCTGCGTGCCAAGCAGACAGGTGCGTGCAGGGCCGTACCAAGCAGCTCCCGGGAAGGACAGGCGCTGCATGTGATTTAGTAAGCAGCCCCCGACCTTCTCTATGGGACTACGCGGCCATACGCACCCCCCCACGCTCACCCGCCCTCGTATGCTGACAGGATGGATCCTGTCTGCGTCAGAGCCGGAAAACACGCACACCTACGGACCTGCACTTGAGGTGAGTGTAGGGGGGCGTACGACCCCGTAGTCCCATAGAGAAGGACGGGGGCTGCGCAGTAAAACACATGCAGCGCCTGTCCTTCCGAGGAGCAGCTTGGTACGGCCCTGCACGGAGCTGTACGTGCGGGCCAATTCCAGTGTGAATGAGGGCTTAAAGAAAACCTCTGATCCGGCACGGAGATATTAAACACAGATCCTAATGGGGGGGCTGACAGTTTCTTTAAGCTGCTAGCAGGCTTCAGTAAAATTCAATCAGTACTAAAGCAGCTAGAATCTTTTTTTAAAGTGACAGGAACTGTTTTACCTCCCCAAGCTGGAGCTGAATGGAGCTTTTAAAGGCTTAAAAAAAAAAAGAAGCTGCTTGAAGCTTGTTGAAAGCTTTGCAGATGCCTGCTGTACACGCTTGCTTTTCTACACGCTGAAGACTGAGTGCAAGGCGTTGAGATCGAGGCTGCAGCAAGTCCCTTCCCAGCAACATGACACACATCTGAGCAAAAATATTTCCTACTAAACAGGAGCACACTGCATTGTGCAGATCACTAGGTTTATAAAATAAAACTGCACTTCCATTTAAAATTCCAGCCAATCAGCAGCAAGCTTATAAACAGCCACGCTTACATGGATCACTTTCCCCTTCAATTAAAATCTTTGGCTCCAACTAAAGCTAGCGAAAGGAAAAGATCTCCCTACCAAGAATTCTCATTGAAGGTGACAGCCCTCCATAAGCATGTCTGTTCTTATATGCGTCTTCAAGCACTTCAAAATGTACATTTATATACACGTTCCAGGGCTCTTCTGATTGAAGTTTCATCCAAAAGATTTAGGCCTTCATTTTATAGCATCAAAGAGCACCGCTCTGACTACAAAGAAACGAAAGCTGAAATCTTGTTGGTCACAATGGAAACCCACTCCTCACATCTCTACAAAACGCCCTTACCGTAGAAAAGGGTCTACTTGTGGCTTTTATTGTTGCAGCCCCAAAAATATGGATCTGTTTAGCAGACATAGATAAAACCACAAAGGCTGGACAATCTGCTTTCTGATCTGGTCCTGGAGGAAGTGCAAGTGACTCCTCTTTAACAGGATCTAGCTTGCTTCCCTTGTAACCAAACAGACCCAATACATACAGGTTGCCAAAAAAGCCTTCCTAATAAAGTCACTAGTTGGCGGCCTGGCTGCTGGTGGGCTGTATTGCTTTCTTTTCCGAAATTTTAAACAGATTTCTGGCTCTGTGGGGTATACATGTCAATAGGCTTGAGATAGGAGCCTCTGCAACACCTGTTAAGAGAAAAAAAACCAAAAAAACATTAGTCAATATACACATATTCAGGGAGAACAGAACGGTCATACAGACAAAATTTGGACATGAGGATACCCGTTTTAGTGACAACTGACAAAAATGGGATCCCCATTTACAGAAAAAATGCTCCAGCACAGCTCGTTTTAAAGGAGAACTATGGGGTCAGTGTTTTTCCCCATAGTTCTCCTTAGGGTAACGGGAGGACACAAACTAGCGTCCTCCCGTTACCCTAAGCTCAGTATACCGCGAGCTACAGCCGGAGCGGATCCAGACGTAGATGACGGGATCCGCCCAGCTGCGTGAGTGACAGCTGGCTCTGCCTATCTAGAGTCCGTTCCGCCAGTCAGCGCTGGCAGATCGGAGAGGGGAATCCAGCCCCTCCCCCTGTCACGGCAGAGAGCCGTGACAGGAGCGAGAGGTGAACGAACCTGGTATGTGTTCGCTCACCTCCTGATCTACTGAGCCGACCTGTGACAGTCTCATTGTCACAGGTCGGCTAGAACTATGGGATGAATGGAAATCACTCATCTCATAGTTCTCCTTTAAAGCTCTTTTATCGCTTGTTAAGAATAAGCGGATACCGTAGTATAAGGTCCATAGCCTGGGTATACATGCACTTTATTAAATACCTGCTGATACTGCCAGTTTCTGCCGTCTCTCAAGTTGCCCATCTGACGACTATCGTAGGATAATCGCAGGAATCGACAGGTGTATGGGCAGCGTGTGACCGCAATTACTTTTCGTCTTACGAGCACGCTAGAAAACCCGCCGAGAATCGTATGATTTCTGTCGGGTTGATAGCGCAATCGCAAGACGAAAGCCGCAAGCGCACATTGCCCGCTCAGGATTGCAATAATCGGCAAGCCCTCCCCTCAGCGGGGAGGGCTTGCGATGATCGCAAGTACGATCTGCCTGTCCGAGATGGGCAGGTCGTACAAAATTTTAACCACCTTACAACCATCGCACAACGAAAGTCGTGCGATAGTTGTAAGGTGTATGGGCAGCTTAAAAGTTGCACATACACCTTACGATTATCGTACGACACTGTTCGTCCGATGATCCAACCGTCGTACGGCGGCCCCATCCTGCCCCGATTATTGCAAGCCTCAATCAGCGGTAGTTGAAAAAAACACCTGCGTTAATCGCCCGCACATGAGCAGTGTCGATCGCACGACTTTTGACGTACGGAAACGCCACCAACGTGGCGAAAATCGTACGATCGACTGAAGTTTTTGAACCTGCGGGGAAGTCAAAAGTCGTACTATTGTACAGTATTTGCGGTTGTACACTGCCCATCAACGTTACGATTATCGGACGAAAACGCGATCGCATAGGAAAATCGGGCGATAATCGTGCGGTGTATGGGCACCTTAAGTATTGCTTTTAACAGTGTGACAACACTACCCCGCAGAAGTGGTGTCACCATCTTCCTTAAATCCCCGGCAGCTGTGCTTTTATTCAACCTGCCGATTTATTGGCAGTGACCTTTAAGCAGCTTCTCCCCTCCCACTGCCCTGGCCTGCAATACCTGAATCATTGATAGTAACAAGTTATAAAAACTTATTTAATCCTTCCAAAATCCTACAGAGTATTAATACTGTATGCATGCACTATTTCCAGCATTGAGCAATCAGATCAATATAGGCGGGACTGTGATTACCTCATAGGGGAACTTTAAGAAGACCGGTTCTTTTTGAAAAAGCCGCACACTTACCTGATGGTGCCAGTGACCTGATTGACTCAAGGAGGTTGGGGCTGGAGAACTTGACAACACATCGAAAGGGTTCAATCTCTTCAGCAATTCCTTGTTCCCCTTTGAATGTTGTTTCGAGCTGTAATAGGGATTTAGGAGACAAACTATGCACATCAGAATAAGTAATGGAACTTTGATACTAGGACGCAATAAACCGAGTTGGACCCAAGCAACAGGGGAAGCATCGCTTTTACCATTTAAACCTCACTACTTCTAAAACATATTATTAAAAATAAAATCTTCACACTTCAAAGTACTACATCTTATGTAAGAATGGAGACATATAATCAATGCCCTATTGCTAGTGACAAGGCTTCTGACATAACCAGTTAAATATCCCTGAGGATGGAAGAACATATACGAATGTCAACAGAACTTTTTTTTTTTTTACCGGTTTCATTTGTTTACACAAAAATGGAAACTGAAACAGTTAAATAAAAACTGCAAAGTCTTCATGTTTTACAGCAGCCCTCGGGGAACAACTTAGCAAACCTGTTCCATTCATTATTTTTAATCTATGTGATAAACACACTGATACAAATTGTATCAATGAACTTCAAGAGTATTAAAAGAACTCCGGGCAGAAGAAAACATAACCGTTAAAGGGCTATTAAACCCTCGCATGTGTTTGCATACATCTATCTATGGCTAGCAAGCAGTTGCAAAAAATTGTACCACTTTTGGTACAAAATTCCTGACATAATCATACCGCCGGGGAGGTTAATACCTACCTGTGTCTCCGCCACGCGCTCCCGTCCGAACATCATGGAGCCGGCTTTCCGGCCAATCAGGGAGCGGGTAATGGCCCGCCTCTCGGTTTCCCGTTTGGCCAGGAAGCCGACTCGATGCTGATTGGCTGGGAGGCAGGCATTCCAGCCAATTAGCATGGAGTCGGCTTCCTGGGCAGCAGGTAATGACAAGCTGCCCAGTTATCCGACTGTCCGGGAAGCTGGCTCCATGCTACCGTAAGTACCGGTATCTGCGAGTACCGAAATATAAATATCGGTACTCAATACAGAAAAACCAGTATGGGTGCATCCCTAATATCTATATATGCCCACAGGGGGACTTTCATCAAGCAAATTAGGGGCATAATCTGCAATCTACAATTTTCCTGTGTATTTGTGACCTCTGCGACTGTAAACCTGAGCAACCAGCAGCAACAGATTTGCAAAGTTATGATTTATAATTATTACTGAAGATGAGACAGATTTGTCGTCTAAACAGACACACAATTAAGAAGTGGTCAGGATTTATTCTGTCGCAGTACTATTTTAGAGCAGCTGAGAGAGGAAATGTTGACTCCAGCTGTAACATTGCATTAAATCTGTTGCACAATCTGTCTCACTCCTCCTGTTTAGCGTTGCCTTGCTGTGCAATAGAATTGATAAATGTCCCCCACAGAGTTTATTTGTGTTTTCATACCCTATACGATGCGTGTTCTAATTTTGGAAGAGGCCCATCTCCGAATGCTTCACGAGTCAGATGATGAACCCTCTCTTTTTCTTTAAGGTTTTCATAAGTCACCCTTGAATCCACTAGGAAAGA